CTATTTACTTATTTTTTTGCACAAAAAATTTCACTTTGAACAAAATATTGAAATTTCATTGAAGTGGAAGGTTTTAATACGGCAACAATCGGGAGTGCAGTCGTGTCGTGCCGTCGCCTTTGTGTTCAGAGCATTATACTTCTCCAGAACATCCTTCAACTGGGCAGAACCACCTTCTATATAGAGGGTTTCGGATAACCGCAGCTCCATACCCGCAGATCATAGTTCTTTTGCGGGGATCGTTAACAAAAAGGGAGGAATTGAGCATGATAGGTAAACTGTAACTGGATAACAAGAGTAGCTATCACAGTCCACTAAATTACTGACCTAGACAGCGATATTTCGCACGAACAAGGTGCATTTTGCACGGCCGTTGAGGCAAGTGTCCCATTAGTCCTTTGGCAGCATGGGACCACAAAACATGTGGTCCACTCCCTGTGTGTCTTAAGGCCTGATCAGTTTTTAAGATGACTCCATCCATTGCATGTGTTGCACCTAAACAGTTTAGATGGAGCCTTCTGGCGCAAACGCAGCAGAAAAATAATATGCTAAAAGTTGCTCCAGTGAAGACAATTTTAACCTAAAACTCACCGATGCAAACAGGGTTAAATTGCCGAAATAACAGCCCCTGACCGGATAAAATCCAGATCAATTTCGTAATAGGTGCCGAAACGATTTGTCCTGCGCAAATTTGTGTGTTCTAACTATATCATTAGAGGGTGTGCCCACCCCCACTTTTTATTGTGACGCTTATTAACGCAATTTAAAGGTTTTTGAATATTTGCGTTTTGTCGGCGTGACAATGATCCGATTACGCTCATCTACCAATACCAACTTTTTTAAAGTGCTAAGAAACATATGTACCAAGTTTCCTCAATATACCTCAGTTTTTACTCAAGTTACAACTTACACAGACGGACGGACGGACAGACAGACATCTGGATTTCAACTCGTGTCGTCATCCTAATGATTTATATATGAAAATATACATATATAACCCTACATCTATCTCGATTAGTTTTAGGTGAAACAAACAACCGTTAGGTGAACAAAACTATTATAGTCAGTAGCAACATGTTGCAATAATACAAAAATATTAATTAATTATATTTTAATGAATTTTTGCAACCCTTAGCTACTGTTATTTGTTTAAATAATTTTATCATTACACTTTTATATGCGAAGACGAACTTTAAATCATAATTAAAGTTTTCCTTAAATTCGACTTATTTACACAATAACAAAAGGGTGCAAAGAAATAATATGCATATTTTGGGGAGTAATTTGTTTTCTTTATTCATTTTGGTTTGTTTACAAACTACAATAGATAAGGTAACACTGATCATTTGTTAGTAGGCAGCGCTTTTGTTATTGCTTGAATAAGTTTAACTGATGAAAAAGTTAAGTATTGAATTGAAGCTATTTTTGCAATAATTATTACTGAAGAGATATGTAGAAATAATTTAGTGAGATGTTAATAGATAAAAGTCCACAATAGAGGGTTAAAACACAATTTAAATCTAAAGATTGTAGATCTAAAATTGTTAAATTTATGACCTAGCATTACAAATATCTCAAATCCGATAAATTTAACTATATGTATATGTATATATGGAGAACCTCGGCTGGGATTTAGAACAGCATCCCCCAAACATGGGGTTAAAATGTGTATGTACGGATAGAGGAAGTTCTCTAGACTAAGAATATATACTTATATGTATATAGTTGCCGCTGACTATGGTATGACATTTTAAATTACAAATTTTTTCACAACTAGTTAAAGTGCGTATTTCTTATTATAATGAATATTTATTTCGATTTATAATGAATTTTACACTTATATTTTTAACTTTTATATTCACTAACACTTCACGAATTCGTTTCTATACATTTAAAGTATTTTGTGTTAAATAGTGCAAAATTAACTTAAATTCAATATTCAACTTTTTTATACTCTCGCAACCTGTTGCTACAGAGTATAATAGTTTTGTTCACCTAACGGTTGTTTGTATCACCTAAAACTAATCGAGTTAGATATAAGGTCATATATATACATAAATGTTAAGGATGAAGAGACGAGTTGAAATCCGGGTGACTGTCTGTCCGTCCGTCCGTCCGTCCATCCGTGCAAGCTCTAACTTGAGTAAAAATTGAGATATCTTTATGAAACTTGGTAGACATGTTTCTTGGTACCGTGAGACGGTTGATATTGCAGATGGGCGTAATCGGACCACAGCCACGCCCACAAAACGCGATGAATCAAAAACAAATAAATTGCCATAACTAAGCTCCGCAACAAGATACAAGACTGTTATTTGGTATACATTAGGGAGGGGAATCTGCAGTTAAAATTTTTTTTTAAGTGGGCGTGGTTTCGCCCCTAATAGGTTTAATGTGTATATCTCCTAAACCGCTAATGCTATAATAACAAAATTCACTGGAAGCAAACCTCTACCTACAGTGTGAAAATAGTTGAAATCGGGTGGCAACTCCGCCCACTCCCCATATATCGGTACTGTTAAAAACTACTAAAAGCGCGATAAATCAAGCACTAAACACGCTAAAGACATTAAATTTTATATTTTGGATGGTATTAGAAGACGATTTAGGTGAAAACCCATATATTGGGATCTGCTTAACCGATTTCAACCAAATTCGGTGCATATCTTTCTTTTCATATTTCTATGTTATAGTGCGAAAATGAGTGAAATCGGATTAAAATAACGCTTTTTCCCATATAACAGCATTTTAAATTCTATCTGATTCTTTCACTTTCCAGTATGCAAATCAAGCTACAATGATTGTATCGGGGTAAAGCTTTGCGTGAATAATGCGTTTAAAGTATGCCACCTTGTGACCAAAAATTGTCTAAATCGAATCAAAACTGTTCAAGCCCCTAGGTACTGAATATGTGGGCCAGTGCCTATAGCTGACCTTTTACCGAAAATATCGGCCAACATAGAACAAGGCGGATCCACAAAGAAATCTAAAACGAGTATACCATTTGACTTTGCGAGAGTATAAAATGTTCGTTTACATCCGAACTTAGCCCTTCCTTACGTGTTTTCAATTATTTTTATTCACACAATAACAAAAGGATTGCATTCTAAGAAAAAATAAGTGTTACCATATCTTGCAAACGAATAAAAATAAATTTGAATAAAAGGAATATTCTGTCAATGTAAAACTCATAATCGTGTGATGAGAGACACAAAATCTTTCAGAATCTCTTTTCTTTTGATAAATCCCGGTGTTGGATCGACTAGGGTTATTTTTTTGAGAGGGACGCCAACGCAGAAAATAGTTCTACCTGAAAGAACCGAGGACCAAGGTTATTTTTTTTGAGCCCGGCCGAAGGACGCCAATGTCAAAAGAGTGCTACCCGAAAGAACTGAGACAACCCGGCGTTGGTCCGGCCTGGGTTATTTTTCTTTTGAAGCGAGCCGAAGGCTGTCAACGCAAAAAGAAGTTCTACGCCAAAAGCTAATAATGTATTATTTATTTCTTGTCATTGGGGTAGTATCTATTTTCTTCATTTCTTTTGGTTCCTTTGTAAAATATGTAGATGAGACAACACTGGTTTTTTGTTAGAATGCAACCCTTTTGTTATTGTGTGAATAACAAGAATTGAACAAAAAATTAATATTGAATTAAAATAATTTTTGTACTATTTAATTTTATATAAAATTAATGTGTAGAAACGAATAGTAGAAAATGTTTACTTTAAATGCAAATATCTCAAAAACCATAGGTCAGTGGCAAATATGTATGTTTATACACTGGACAGAAAAGTCTACGTACTAGGTACCAAAATAAATAATATATATTATATATAATATTGGAAAAAATAACTTTATATACTATTTATAAAATCCAATTTATTTGAAATTCATTATAGGACATTAAATATGTAGTTTTATGAAAATAAGTGATTGAATAGGCGACAGTAACGTATAAACAAAACAAAACATACGGATGAAAAGAAAATCCATTAGAGAATGTCTGCGTACAAAGTACGTAAGTCGAATAAAGTTATTCTTCCTACGAATTCTTCTTTAAATTTAATAAGAAGTCGGATATCCCCAACGTCTTAAAACTTCGATTAAGGGGTTTGGCATCGAATAGACAAGCTTAGAGGTTTGGTTTGGTGTTTGAAGCTGCTTGGCAACGTTGTAAGGTAACTAAAGCTTAATTGTCTTCTGTATGCTTCGGTTGGTTATTCTATATGAGTCACTTCCAAGACCAAATTCTACTGCTACTTGCTCTTTCGGGAAAACATTATGCACTTACTATTGACTAGAGATATGAATTAGTTCTTTTGTCTTTTTGAGAAGCATCAAAAATTAAATTTTTTTAAATCGTCATATTTTGACGCGAAGATTACAAATCCAAAACAAATTTATGTATATTTTTGAAGCGCGGCCGAAGTGCGCAAGTGCAGAAAGGAGTTCGACGCCAAATAATATAAGTAAAATGTGTTTATTTTTTAATTAATCGTAAAAATTCAGTTTTTTTTTCGTAAAATTTAACCATTATGTCTCTTTAAGAAGAGGCTTTTTAATCGTAGATTTTAAAACAAAAATTATAATTTTCGCGTCCTGCTTCGTTGGGGAACCTAAACTATACATTTAACTAAAAATCTTTTAAAATTCCCATTTTACTACTTGTACGCAGACTTTTTTGCGCTGCCAAATTACTATTTTTTTGTAAATTTGCTTATGAAACTATAGTGTCAGATTTTCATTATTTTATATGCTATAGGATTATGCAATAGACTAGTTAATATGATAATGCTCTAAAAATTTGTATATAAGTTATTTTTATTAAAAAAAAAATAAGAACGTCCTCTATCCATCCGCACATACCCACTAAACCCCGAATTCATTCTAAAAATGTACCCTAATAACACATTACGAAATGCCTGTATGAAAATACTTATTGTTAATTATTTAATATGAAGATAATAAGCGCCTAATTGAGCATATTATAACAATATTTACCTCATTTTTGTTTCCACAATCTAGATTACTATTTCCAATGTTATTAAAAACCTCTTTTGCAATGTTGGGTATCTCCGAGTTAATTTCTCTTAAAGCAACTTTACACTGATTTCTGATTTGATGACAATTTTTGGATCCACTCAAATTAATTCCAACATTTATATCATTTTCCCCATAATCAGTACTTGAATTTCTAATTACCATAGTACTCTTGCAACCTAATGAACTATTTCCAGTTGTATTGAGGTGATCTGAAATTTCATAGGAGTTATTCCAACTTCTGGGTTTTTCTTCTGCATGAAATTCCCTGAAATATGTCTTGTTATTTTCAAAATTAAATAAGATTAACTTAAACCAATACCTCACAGACTTTCTCCCACAAAAGCTTATTCGACGCTTTGGTTTAACACCATCCACATCACCGCCAAATCTTTTGACCCCAACTGAATCATTGTGCTTGAGCTAAATCAAATCTTTTCAAAATACCATTTACATAAAATTTTTATTTTAAATATTATCTCACCGAGCTTCGTCTTTCTCTTTTCTCCAATTCCATTATAGAATTTTACTAAGAATATTTATTGAATTTTGTAATAGTGAACCACAATTTAAATTTTTCGCTATCCTTCGATAATAACCGACACAATAATAATAATTGCATCGATTTTGATACCGATAGTAATCATGATTACTGCGTTCAGACGAGGACTCGTTTGACACTTATTATCTTCTCTTTTGGTGTCGCTCATAGCGTTCACACAAGCGAGTCAACTTGAGTCGGTATATTTTCGTCATTAACTTTGGTTTTTATAAAAACAATTTCTTCAAAGCAAAGATGATTATGCTTTAATCATTTAAAGTCAAAATTTTTATTTCAGTGAGAAAATTTTTTTTTATATCAGTGTGTAAAGTGGTTTTTGACAAACTATATATGTTTTCTTAAAACACGCACAATAAATTTATCTTTTGGACATATTTCAATGTGTACTGTGTAATTAAAAACATTGCAACGGATTTCTCGATAAATCGTCTACCTCGTAACTTACTCCTGAGTTCGATCATTGGATTGTTATATAAAAGTCCCAATTTAATAGCTATAACTTAATCGAGCTTACAACTTCTTGCTTATGTCTCAATTGCTCTTAACACAGCAACAATCTAGCTAGAACTGTTGGTGCTGAACAATCTGGTAGCCATCCATGCCTATTTGCTCAACTGGCGCATCCGAATTGTACTGCCTCATATGGCCATGACTCCTGGACCTTGATCCTTTAGCTACAATGGGCTCAGCATACTTCGCAATCCTTTCCATAGCTGATTGACGACAACCAGTACAATAAAACCTTAGCTTCAATTTCTGCAAGGTTTTCGTAATTCTCAATTGCCCTCCCCTTGGACCTTTGTACTGCACGTTAAGAACTTCAGAAGTTCTAACCTTTTGAACAATCATAAGTACTCAGAACGTCTGCCCACTTTCGTCGTACTCGATGCAAGCAGCCACACATTAACTTTAAACTGCTCCGCTCTACCCAATATACCTCAAAAAATAACCCTGGTCAGTCTAACATCGGGGTGTCCGTAATTATTATGCGTGCTAAAAGGAGTTCGGTGCAAAAGAACTATGGACACCCCGGTGTTGGACCGACTAGGGTTATTTTTGTGAAGCACGGCCGAAGGCTGCCAGTGCAGAAAGTAATTGGACGATCTCCTCTATTCGTCTATAACATCAGATCCCGACGTAAAAGAAATTGTGAGAGTTATATTTCTTCAGTATTTTTTTTTTCACATGTATGTTAAATATATTTTAATAAAATTATACATAAATTATTTTCAAAAATTCTTTTTGCGCTCACGGATTTTTTATCTTCGCGTCAAAATAAGACTATACAGTTACCGATCTTTCCTATACCCAAAGACATCTTACTATTAATTGTATACAAAGAATAAACCAAGTCCTCTATCTTTTCTGTGTAAAAATATTGAAACATTCAAACTATAAGCCGCCGTTTTTACCGATGTGCCACTTCAGTGAGACTTGTAACGTGTTCAAACATTGATCAATGTAAATGTTTTTTGAATCTTAATAAACTCCTGCATTTTAATTATATCTTCATTAGCCATTTCTGTGCTCGCTACAATAAATTTATCGAAATGAATTTATTCAAGAGAGTTTGCTAATACCTCTTCTGTGCTAACAAATTTTACACATTATAAACCAAGTTAAACATTAATGACTTAAATGAAAAAAGGTCTTAAAATTTAAAATACATTTTTTTTTTAATTGAGACTTGTAAAAATTACATTTGTGTATAGTAAACCTAAGACCCGAAATATCGTTTTTGTCACGAAAAGAAGGAGGGAATGGGAATTGCGCGTGTCAGTGAACATGTCAACGCAGGGTTGTAACTGTCAGTTTGTTTGAACAAAAATTATAATTTATTCGATTGAGTCCTCTCCAACGCTTGGTGATTCGAAGACAGCAAGCAAATATCTCAATAAAACACTTGCACGCTTTTCTCCATTATAATTCGATTCACCAAGTGTTGGAGAGTAGCGAATATAAAAAAACTATAATACATTGCAAGTCAATTATCTGTTGAATGATATGTTAATTACCAAAGAGCGATATGTTAATTACTGCCAGAGAGTTTGAGTTCTTGCATTTATATGTAGTAGTTATGTCATGTTAATGGTTTCAATGCATTGGAGTTTCAGGTAGTCGCAACTTATATTTTGATAGCGACCAGAGATATAGCAGAGAAATAGCGAATCAAAAAATGTTTACCTGAAAGTCATTTAACGGGGCCTTTTTGCCGTTTTAAAACTCAACAAGTGATTTAAAATATCGTGATCTGTACGAACTTTAGAACTGTCCATGTCCATTCTGGTCTCACAATGGTCCGGATATAGTGGACAAGGATTTAAATATAAGATAAATTTGTGATAATGTAACATAATTTAAAGATAGTGAATTCCTTCAGTTTTATGAAGATGGAAAGTGAATAAGATGCATTTTATTTATTTGGAACTTCATAAAATATTTTTATTCATTTTAAATTATGGTGCTAGAAATAATGAATAATTAATCTCTTCTATTATTAATAGTTTGTTGGTGAGCTTCATATGAATCTTCTTGTAAACTGTTTTCAGAATTTCATCTTGGTCAATTCCAATATTCAATTAATACATATGTATATTATGAAGACGACAAGCACTAACAATTAAATTTAATATAATGTAGTAATCTTCTAAATTTAATTTAAAAAAAAAATAATTTGTGAATCTACTAGGCTTGCCTGGTATGCTATGAGCCATGCATTGATCAGTTTTGGTTCTTAACGATGCCAAATAGATTTTACATAGTTAATGAGGAGTGATCATCCTTTAGAATGCCTGCGCTTGACGCGAATTTCAACAGGCTCTGTGGCCCCATACCATGGCGTCTCCAAATACTAGAAGCGCACAAGAGTTGTTCCATTGTTTCCTTGTTGACTTGATCTTAACATTTCCTGCTGTCTTCTATAGCTGTCAGTCTCATTGTGCGGGCATGTACCACGATAAGATTGGGACCAGTGAGCATTCCAACCATGTTCCAACATTCCCATCTTTCGAGTACCAGTAGGAATTTCGTACATTTCTTTACACATGACTTTTAAGTTTTATTCCCCGGTAGATTATTCCATCGCGTTTTGAACTTTCTTACCATGAAATTCATGAGTTTACCAATATCAATCACGTTTTCGGAGGACTCAGCCTGCTTAACCGCCATTAGCCACTAAATTATGCAACACGTTTCTATGTATATGTAAATTTTTATACCAATAGTAGTCGTCCCGAAATTTAAAAATGGGAATGTTGTCTACCAATGTCACTATCTTGGGCGCTTTGCCGTCAAACATTTTATCTACCACTAATATCTATAGGAGCGGAAATAGCACACCACCCTACGAAGTGCTTCTACAGACTTTATCAGTCACTTTAATCTCGTTACATTCTACTCCTATATTTCTAGAGGTCAAGAGGCTTCTTACCCAACGGTGTATAGTAAGATCAACACATATTGACTCCATAGACTCAGAATAATTTTCATAGAAACGTTACTGAATGCTTCAGAAGAGTCGAGGAACACTCCAAGTTTGTGTATTCGTGTAGCGCTTTGGACAAGCTTTCAGAAGAAGCTACGGCCCTGATATGCACGCCCAAGATATTGTCCAACGTTTTTCAGCAGTAAGGAAGGGAAGCTGATAAGTTTACTCTTTCACGTAGGTTGGGTTGTTTGTACCCACCGAGGTATGATGATCTTCGCCTTAGGCACCTATGGAATGTTGGTGCGGTTCACCACCTCCATTTTAATGTTTTCACACAGCGTTCTGATAACTTACAGCCTTACTTATATTTGCTTAGCTCTTTACATGGCAGCACTAGAACTGTGTCGGCTGCACAAGGTAACCCTTATGTAGTCGATCTTTAACAGAACTTCGCCACTCGAACATTCTAGTAACTACGAAATTCGTTGTCTGTTTAATTCTGGCAATTTACGGGTGCGTTTGACTTGGAGGCCATCCTCCATAAGAGTAGTTCTAAAAGCTTCATCTCCCCTTTTTTCCACCGCTCCTGCTCTTTTGTCCCAGCGTGTTACGATAGTCAAGCTGCTGCCGCTGCTTTGGACGTAGGCGGCTTGCCGTCCACGTGCATTACGGTTAGCTTTTCAGCTAAATTCGAAGTCTGTTTTTAGGGATAGACTCTTCAAAGTGGTTCGCAAACGCTGGATCCGAGGCACTGCACCAGTTGCCTGCCTTCAGCTCCTCTTTACTTGTCTTCTTGCGCGGCCTCTATCCCAGCTCGCTTCATCTCTTCGTTGGCTTCCATATTGAGTTTAAAAGTCAGGGGTCGCTACCGCGTTATACCCACCGCGTGATACCTCGTAGCAATGGCTGTTCCATCTGAGGTTGCATATAAAACAGTCCATCATAAGGGGATAAATGGGGAAATGTACAAGCCTCCGCTGGATGACGCCTGTCTGCAATTTCATGACTCAGCCAACCCAAATGCAGCTTGAGACCACGACATTACAAGCAGCGGTCGACAACCGCGCGGAGGATAAATCTAAGAGGAAATCTTGCAAATCTAAATCATTATAATTTGCTTAATATAAAAATATTTGAGTGAGGTACAGACCGCAGAACAAAAAGGTCTGCTTGGGTTTCTATTAATCTGTTTGCTTATTTTACCAAAGTGGCAACACTTCAAGCTCTTAAGCTGTAATTTTTTAGCTGTGTATATTTGTTTTTTTATTTTTAAAAAATTCTTGAAGTTTAATTGATTTTTTTACCGTGTTAATACAATTTTTGTGATTAAACTCTCAGTTTCATGATAAGTATTAAATGTTCTTAAGTTTTGTGCGGTATTAATAAGTTTAAACTTTCCAATTTTTGGTGCCGAGTCAGCTTTTTGTTTCATTTTGTTATATTTTACTCAATTTTCTCTCTTTGTTTATCTTATTTACTTCTTTATTCACAGCTGTGTTGCGTTTAGCTTTTTATTTGTTACAGTGCTTCTAAAACTGCTCGCTATATTGCTTTTTCAAATTGTCTTGGTTTTAAACTTTGATAAAAAAAATTGTTCTTAATTGAATTTATTATTATTAATATTTTATTAACACACTAATTTATTATTTATCTATTAAATTTTGTTCTACTTACTCTTTTATTTGATCTTCATTCTTGTGGTTTATTATGTCTTGTAACTTCCCCAATTGTAACATTAAAGGCGAGTCAGATCGCTACGTTTCATGCTGGCTTTGTGATGGGCTTGCCCATATTAAATGTGCTGGACTGACTGGTAGAATCTTAGATTCTATTCTCGACTGTAAGGGATTGCGTTGGTCCTGTTTAAATTGTAGATCTATTGAAATCGATCTATTTAAAGTTTATAGGGAGACACGCAATGGCTTTAACGAAATCGGTCGTGATCTTGTAACCCTCACTGAAAAATTTAGGCACTATGAAAAATTGTTCAAATCTTTTAAGTGTCTGAATAATTCTCACGAATCCTCTAAACCTGCTCCTAAGCGTAAACGTCCTTCCGATGAAGTAACACTTAGTTCTTCTGTTCAGAAAAGAACGTCTCCTCCCAATGACCTAATAAATCTCTCTTCTCCTTGCCCTCAAGGTGATAAGCCGTCAACTTCCAAAGAGCTCAATTCCCCAAAAGCTCTGTCTTATAGTAATAAGTGTCTCAAAATTCCAGAGGCTCCCCCTATTAACTTAGTAGCATCAGTTAATAATTTGATCGTTATTCCACCTAAAAAGTCTATATTTATTTCGAGACTTGCCAAAGATACCTTGGTGGAGGACATTAAATCTTATATTTCGTCTCGTTTAAAAATCGATGATATCAATATACGTAAATTTAACTACAATTATGATAGAAGTATATCATCGTTTAAAATAGACGTATCTCTTGAAACATTCAAAAAGATCTTAGATAGTTCATTCTGGCCACCTGGGGCTTTTGTACGCGAATTTAAACCTAAACTTAGAAGTCAAACTGAGGAAAACATTGTTAAATTACCAAAAGCAACCACCGATATAAAAAACTGATTGGTAGAAATTCGCTAAGCATTTATTATCAAAATGTTAGAGGTCTTAATACATAATTAACTGACTTGTATTTGAACAGTTCCAATTTTAATTTCCATATTATTGGATTTACAGAAACTTGGTTATTTTTGATAATGATATTTTAAACAGCGAATTTCAAATTTTTAGATGTGATCGACTAAACAGAATCGGTGAAGGTGTTCTATTTGCCGTACATTCCTCAATCCCATCTGAAAATATTCTTGTTTCAGGGACCGACTCATTTGAATTTAAATGTATTAGAGTCTACGTTAATAGTTTTTTTTATTTATTTAACCCTATCTTATATACCACCCCATTCGGACTTATCTTACATGCAGCATGCTTCTTTAATAAATAGTGCTACCTCGATGGCAAATAATGCAGATTCAATAATTGTATTAGGTGATTTAATTTACCGTGTGCTTCGTGGAAACCTTTCGATGACTATATCGTGCCGATTTGCAATCGGTCATGTTTTAATGAGTTTTTCGAAAAAATGTCCGAGTTGGGTCTGAACCAAATTAATTTGATTCCGAATAAATTTGGTAAATGCTTAGATTTAGTATACGTTGATACCTCTGCAAAGTGTTTCGTTATTCAGAGTAATCCTCTTGTTCTACCAGAGGACTCATATCATCCTGCTTTGGAAATATCTGTCAAAATCTCAGGCATTGTACGGGATAATAATCATCAAACTTCGTGCTTCTCTACTTGGTTTAACTTTGCAAAAGCTAATTTTAAAAAGTTAAATACAGAACTTTCTACAATAACATGGCCTAATTATAATGGTGACATTGAATTGAGTGTCTCTCATTTTAATAACATTATTATGAAATTATTTGAAAAGTATGTTCCAATAGTAATTGTTAATAAAAGCAAAAGTATAAGTCCGTGGTTTTCGAAAGAGTTATATAAATTGAAAAACAGAAAAACTCGAGCCTTTAAACATTTTAAAAAAACCGGTTCACTTGTCGACTATTCTAAATATTCTCTATTGCGTCGACAATATTTTGACCTAAAGAAAAAATTTTATAATAATTACTTAAATAAAGTAAAAAAATATATTGTAAGTAATCCAAAATCGTTTTATGATTTCGTCAACTCCAAACGCAGGATTTCCAAATTTCCGTCCGCAATGAAATAGAAATCTATCATTTCAAGTGACAATGATATTATATCCAATATGTTTGCAGAATTTTTCAAGTCAAACTACTGTAATAATTCTTCCAAAACTTTTTCTTATCAGCAAGTGCTGTGTTCGAATACTTTAATTAACGCTCCAATTATTTCTGAAGAAGACGTCGTATTTAATTTAAATAAGTTAAAACCATCTTTTAGTTATGGCACAGACATGATACCCTCATGCTTCCTAAAAAATATTGCCAAATATATTTAT